AAAATGCATTTCATTGAAAATCATCGATGGGAAAATGTTCTTCAAACACATATTTTGCTATGTGAGGTCACTGATACCAGGTCAAGGTCACAGAGGTCAGGTCACTGAGGGTCACAATATGAAAATATCATGTGATGCATGTATTATGGTCCATTTTATATGTCAAATACGATTATGTGGGTCAGGCAGCCTCTGGGGTCAGTTAAGATTATATTCTGGTGATGGTCTGGTCAAGGTCAGGTCAAGGTCAGGTCAAGATCAGGTCAAATTAGGTCAAATTTCCAAGTTGATATTTTTGCATAAAATGGGTATCGATTCGATGCAGCTCGTCACGGGGAGTTCAATGATTGTCTTTGTTTTGCCCTACGTAGTCTAGAATCGCTAAAAATTGAGTTAAAAAAATTAGACGTAATCATTTTTGAAGTTTTTTCGCTATAACTTAGCCAAAAAACAAGATATCGATCTGAAATTTGGTATGTATATAGAAGAGCGCAGGGACTATCAAATATCTTCTGTTTTTTCGACATTCGGATTTATTTTTTATTTTCTTTTAGTTTTCTAAAACAATCAATTTTTCAATTTTTGGGGGTCAAAAACCCAAAATTTTGAAAATCCGAGATAGCCGTTTTGTAGCGCCGCTTTTTGTCTACTAGACGATATAAAGAACTTTGAAATTGCTTGGTAACTGCAGATTTAGTGAGGGTCTCAAGATTGCATGTTTTTTGCTCATTTTTGCTCGAACATGACCTCAGTTTGACCTCAATAACTCCTGACCTAAGGTGACCTAAGACTTGAAATTTGGTGTGAAGGTGTCAAATTGATGCCCGGGAAGGTACTGAAAATTTGGCGGCGCTGCGCGTCGCCGTTTTCTTGCTATTCAGGAAAAACCACAGGGGGGGGGCTAAATTGCCCCCTCAACGGGGCGAGGGTTAACCCTCGCTGGCCGAGGGGGGCGCCCCCCCCATAGGGATTTTTTTTTTCGCGATAGCTCCGAAGACGCCGGCGATAGAGAGCTGAAACTTGGCATACCTGCCCTTTGATTCAAGCTAAATCTTTTGACACCAACCGCATTTTCGGGTCAGGTCAGGTCACTGACCTATGACGTCATAAGTGAACCTCTGCACGGTCTTCAGATGTCGCAACTTCGCAACGCCCTCATTGCCAGAGGAGCTTTCACGGGGAAATGAAACTTGCAGGACATTATGTCCATTATAAGTTTCACAATTTGTATATCTCGGGTTTTTCCTAAAGGTTAGGTATAGAGGTCAGGTCATTTTCGTGACCTCACCATTGTAAGTCAATGGGGAAATGAAAACTGCTATTCTGGCGCTGGGAACGATCTGCAACTATCTCAAGCACACATAATCGTGATCATCATTTCGTGATTCAAAAACATGACACCACTGAAATTTCAACTCCCTTTTTAAAATCAGGCTAATTTTGCTGAAACTTTCATGGAAGATTTCAAATTGATCTATGAGAAGGTGATGAGTGTTTGACGCTGCTGGCTTAGTTAACACATTTAGAAGTTATTGAAGAAAATGGGAGAGGGCAGATTTCGCTTCCCTCCCCAGCGGGGCGCGGGTTAAAACCCTCGCCCGCACATGCCATTTTCCCATCCTAAAACGCACATGGGGGGGGGGGGGTGCCACCCCCCCGCGCCATTTCGTTCCTGTTGGAGATAGAGCTTAGCGGTAAAGACCAAAAAGATTCTTTAGGAAGAGACGAATCCAATGATACCCAGTTTTACCTTTTCAGGTCAGTCATTGACCTTCCAGGTCAGGTCAAACTAAAAAATGTTGCTGTTTTGGGTCACCGTTGGATATCAAGTGCGCTGCTTATCATATACCGATGACGATGCCGTTTTCTGGTGCCAAGCCAGCTAGAACCTCTTTGTCACACTACCCGACCAGAAATTTGCTGCTGAGGTCATTTCAGGTCAAGCTAGGTCAAGGTCAATTATATGTGTTTGTATGTCTGTGTGTGTCTGTGTGTATACTGATGTGTGCAACGATTGTTTATGTGTCCATATTACATGAAATCATGATCTGAGAAGCTTTTACCAAAAATGCAGTCAAAAAACTTCACAAAAAGTAAATTCATCTTGCCTAAAACGCAATTATCTTAGATGACCTAGGTTGACCTTGACCCTGACCTTGACACCTGTACATCGTCGAACAACATGTTCCATGATAGGTGGGAGGTAAGACTGGCAAAAAGGCCGAAATCAAGGTGTCAAAAGCTCACAAGGCCCATAACAAACGCAAGATGTTGAGAATTGGCCATTTGGGTCATGGCATGACCTGAAAACAAGGTCATATCTCCGAAACCAAAAATCACAGAAACTTGAAATTTTCAGTGGACATTAGGAAAGAATAGAGGAGCAGCTATACGAAAAATCAGCCTTCTAGCTTTAAAAAAGTCGAGTGCAGAGCAGAAAGACTACCTGGGGGGGGGGGGGGTGGCAACTCCCCCCACCCCCCACCCCCCCACCCCCATGTGCGGGCGAGGGTTAAGACCTAATTTTTAGTCCATTCGATAATGTACCTAGATACACAAATTATACAATAGAATGCAAAAATACACTGATGAGAATTTTAGAGCATATTTTATTTCAAGCATTTTATAACCCTCGCACTTATAAGGGTGGGGTCGAATGAACCCTGTGATTTCTCGCAAATAACTCGCGCAAAAAGCGGCCGATTGCGACGTAACTTTCAGATTTCAGAACCCTCGAGCTAATCAATTTCACGCATACCCTAAAAATTTCATGACCCTGACCCAAGTGACCATTGACCTGTGATGTGACTTATTTCTCGAGGCCATGTTTGGCCGGAATCGCGATTCGGCAATTACGTTGGCTCACAGAATCCGTACGGTTCGCAGTCTTTTTGTGTTTTTAAACGTTCTGACATGTGAAATGATGTTGGTTTCATGCATTATGGTGGGTGTCAAAGTCACGTGAAGGTCAGGTTAGGTCACTAACTTTTGATGATCTTGGTTCATCTTTTCTTGTTTTACATGATCCTATGCTAGTTTTTGGAGTTGATTTCGAATTTAGCAACCGTTTGAACATTTACGAAGTAGTTTTGATGCCTTCGTAACATGTTACGAAACTATCAGTGGTGGTTGACACCTACCATGCCTACCCGGCAAGACGCCTACTGGTTGACTTGACTTGACCTGACCTGACGTGGCCTAAATGCATGAAGACATCATCTGTGATCAAAACTAATATGACATTCTTGATCAGCACCCCGAAAGACCCATAACACCCTCACTTTACGAAGTTCTAACAAGTCCCGATTTTCCCGACTTTTGAGTCGTTGACCTGACCTGGAAGGTCAACCAATAACCTAGGACCTTAAAATTCGATATCGTCGGCTTTCTCTCGTCACGGGCAACATGGCTCGTTTCTTCCTCGAAGCTCTAGCTTGATCAGGAGCCGGAGGGAACGGGTCTCCAGCGGACCTCCTATGCGTCCGCGGCTGGCAAAACACCAATACGGGCGAGGGTTCAGTCTTTCACCAATGAATAGGCGACCAGTGTTCATATAAAACCGTACTTTTACTTCTGCTAAACAAAGTAATCATCGCAAAATTACATTGCACATCATATGCGGGAAACGTGACACCTTTCATTGAGTTTTTTTTTTCGTGAGCTGAATAAAAGATTTGATGCCCATTTGAGCCGAGCCCAACCAGCCGATTTCAACATGTGACTTTTTAAGCTGACCTTGGCCTGGGCTCTGACCTACACTACATAGACCTGTGATGGCCTAGGTCGACCTCATAGTTGACCACTTGCCTCATATCCTCGTCACGGTGAGCCCCACATTGACAATGAACACAATCATCTTGGAACGTAATATGATACAATTAACACTCTGTGCAGTTTGATGATGTTTGATCTAATCTGACCTGACCTGACCTTATTGATTGACCTCAGTCATTGTGAAGCGACCGAGGTATGGCTCCTCTATAAGGATTCCGGCTTAATTCCGTCTGAACTTGCGATTTTGACATGCGATCTGGCTGGGGACATAACATATATAGACCTAACTTAGCACTTATCCAGGATAACTATTTCAAGGATTCGAAATATGGAGTTTTTATTGTGGCTTTTAACGACCAATGGATGTAGAATTAGCAGCGCGGTAATGCTTATCAGTCCTCCAGTTCAGCGCGTTTTGCTCTCCCCCAGCGCTTGCATCGATCGAAATTGGGAACTACATGCATACGTTTGGAGGTAGGTAGTTGTGAATTTGTGAGTCCAATAGATCTTGTTATACGTTGAAACACGAGCAGGATTAATAATATGTTGATCGTCGAGTCCTTTTGTAGCAACACGGACGGTGTCTTCGCCTTCGCAAGGGGCCAAGATCTTCGCAACAAGCTCTGCTTATCTTAGGCTCGACTGGTCTGCATCAATCTGTCCATTCAAACGTTTGGGCTAAATTAAGAAGAAGAAGAAAAAAATATTGCGGCGTCCCGCATTTTTACCTCTTATTCCAAGGAAAGTTGTGGCCGAAATAGCTGCAGCCTGCAAGTATGTATAAATATGCTTTTGCAGTTCAACTAAAATGTAGATTATAAATTGTTAACGTAACACTGAATAATCTACAGACTAACAGCAATAAATTATTCATCAACCTCTTTGTGACGTTTAGTTAGACGAATTGTCATTTTTAAATGTAAAATTATATCATGTTTTGTATCGTTCAAGCAGGCAATAACGTTCAACAGCTGTACTGTACCTATACATACATGCTAGGTAAGTTGGTCGCAAGTGCTACTTCGTTTGAATTTGTAAAAGGTGGTATAAGAAATAAGGGAAACCAGTATTTCATCAAGTTCTTGTCATTCGATAGGTATAATCGGTTATTCTCATGAAGACCTATCCAAGACCTGCAGTCCTTCCCATAACCTGCTGAAATACATGTCAACGAGCGCTACAAAAGAGGGGCCGCGCTGGCTGAATTCCCTCTCCCCGGCACTGACCGTGAGTCGCGGCAGACCGGCCAGGACCGCCAGCGCGGCCGCCGCCACCAGCCCGCCGTGCACGACCATGGCTTCCGAGCGGCGGCGTGCGAGTGCGGCGGCGGCCGCGGCCGGCGCTCCCGCGGGGCTGTCGGCGCCGACGGCCGGCCTCTGCCGACGCGCCCATAGGCGGCGGAACGGGGGGCACCGGGGCACCGTGCCCCCTTGAATTCTGCAAGGGGGGCACCAATAGCAAGGTGCCCCCTTAAATTTGATGCATTAGTACCAGAGGCGGATTCGGGAAAACTCCAAGGGGAGGGTCATGAATCGAAGTGGTGCCCCTACCTTTACCCAAAATTAAAACCTCAACGGATTTCGGCCACTTAATTTTGGTGGTGCCCTATTTTCAGTTTTTTTTTCTTTATTTTTGGTTAGGCATGTGATGACTGGTGCCCCTGCTAGGCCGCTGGTGCCCCTGGAAAGACTGTGGTGCCTACCTACCCTGCCCCCTGACAGGCCTACCGTGGGCCCTGACATGACTTAGGTGCCCATGGGCCCTGACAGGCCCGTGGTGCCCCTGACAGGCCTGTGGTGTCCTTGCTAAGCCTGTGGTGTCCCTGGGCCTTGGCAGGTCTGTGGTGCCCCTGGCGAGCCTGTGGTGCCTCTGTTAGAACGCAGGTGCCCTTGACAGGTTTGTGGTGCCCCTGACAATCCTAAAGTGCCGACAGGCTTGTGGTGCCCTTGACAGGCCCATGGTGCCCTTGCGAGGCCGGTGGTTCCCCTGCGAAGCCGATAGTGCCCCTGGTAGGCCTCTGGTGCCCCTGGCAGGTCTGTGGTGCCCCTGGAAGACCTGTAGTGCTTTTGCTAGGCCGATGGTGCTCCTGACAGGCCTGTGGTGCCATTGACAGGCCCGTGGTGCCCCTGCTAGGTCTGTGGTACCCCTGGCGGGCCTGTGGTGCCTCTGTCGGCTGTCAGGTCTGTGGTGCTCCTGGCAGGCATGTGGTGACCCCAGGCCCTAAGTCATGACCCATGTGACCTCCCCCCTGGGATTCGCCACTGATAAGTACTGCGATGGCTTCTTGGGAATTTGATACATGTAGGATAAATGGAATTTATCAACGACAATAAGGAAGAGACAAACACATAGGTACTTGAGGATCAGCTTAAAGTTAACCACACATATGGGGGCAGGGTTGTATACCAATCAAGTCGATTGAATTGATTGATTTGATTCAACGCGTATTTTGAGTTGATTGGATTGAGTCGATTGACTTTTCGAGATGACTGGTTGACTGACTCGTTTGACTTTAGCGACTGGTTGACTGATTTGATTCCCGAAAATTAGAGTGACTCGTATGATTGAGTCGATTGAATGGAAAGTTCAAATAAGTTTTAGTTGACGAAAAATAATGACACCAATTGATGACATCAAAGATCACAAAACTACACTGAAAACTGCTTGTCATCACAACTGCATTATGGGGTAGATGGCCAAATAAAGAACAGGACCTAAACATGAACAGCCAACTTTGACTTTCAACTGCAATAACTGCTCCAAGGTGCTAGAACCTGGCGATGCAACTATAAAAAAGTTCATTTTTTTCAAAACCGGTTTGGCTCCAAGTACGTTCTTCGACTAAGCACGCGTTTTAGCCAGCGAAACGGCCAAAAACTGAACTTGAGAAAATCGAACGTCGCCTTATTTTAACATGTGAATTATTCCCGATAAATTCCATACGTGCTTTTTAGAACTAGACATTAGAACAGTGGTGATGTCATGCTGTTAACTTTCATTGCAATGTAATGTATACCTACCATAAACAGAACCGTTTACTCGATTCTGACCACGGCAACAGTGAAAAATGAAGCTTTCCTAAAACTTGTCGACATTTGGTGCCACCGTAGGGACATTGGGAGCCAGCTGCCACCAGTGACGTCATCATAGTATGATGATTTTTGAAGATACAATTTCCATGTATTTACCGAACATAATTTGATGAACTGAATATTTTACCGGTAAGAAATTATTGACCAGACGCTGATGTTGCCAAAACTCACGTGAGACCTTCGATAATGAACTTGGAGCCAAACCGGTTCTGAAATAAAACGAACTATACCTACCTTTGTGCACTCAGCAGGAAACGTTTTTTTTTTAATCCTGATGATAAAGTGCAAGGCCATAATACTAATAAAGTGTGATTAATTAATAATTCACATCTCCACATCTCCTCAGAAACAACCCACTGAACTCTATGAATATCTGAAACCCCTACAAAAATAACTGAAACAAAAGCGCCGTTTTCGTCTCGCTAATTACGTTTACGTACCTAATTAATAGCTAATTTGCTGCATTGTTTAATTTGCAGCAGAACGTTTGTTGATCCTTTTCTCCTGAGAGCCTAAGCATAACATATTTAATATATTTCATTTTCCTTAAAATATTTTACCGAATATTATTAAGTGGTTGTATTTCAAATGAAATAATAATTAAAACGAAATTGGTGTTGTACAACCGATTTATTTTATGATGATCTACCATACTACATGATAATCAATGACGTCATCTTACCAAAAAATCAAAAGACGTAGAATAAGGAGTATAAAAGCTTAGCATACTTATTGGCAAAACGTTTTCTTTGTTTTTTTTTCGCAGTCGCACCGTGCCGTTTTCGCGTTTTAATTTTCCTTGTTCCTACTTCCTTTGTCCTTAACTTATCCTGTGGTTCCAGAGTCCCTGTCCTCTCCATTTCCTTTTAAATATATTTTTAATCCTCATCCCTATCCCCCAGTCCTAACAGTTTCAAATTGTATTGCAATAAAATGTTTTGAATTCTTCACATATAACCTATCTACCTTCGTTGGTACTGTTGGTAGCCAGTGACACATCTAGGCAGGTAAGTAGGTACCTACCTGCTTTCCTGCTGTCTTCATAAACCATACCTAATGAGTTGTCAAATTTGTAGCACATTTTCAACACTTTCATATGGTGTCAGTGTGGCATGAAACCTAGCTAGGTTCATTATGTTCAGGGTTCAATTCAGAAGAGCTCCGCATACGGCATAACTCACATAAGAGACAGACAGGGGCCTTACATGGGGTAGATGGCCTGATGACTTAGCTGGAATATGGCCAAAATTAAATTGACAACTTTTAGGTGAAAGGTGGTGATTTGGGGCGAGTCAACTACTGGGTTATTTTGCATCCATTAAATGAAACTTCTGCTCCAATTCTACCCATTGGACCTCAATATCATGATCCACCTGTCCATCACTACTATGAACGTCAAACCCCTTGAGACCCCACTTTTTTGCGATAATTTTTAAATGCGTCAACTTTCGTTGACAATATTCTGGCAATGCATATTTCAAAACCTGCCGAAACTTTTATTACTAAGGTATTTTGACGCCAAACGATTATGGAAGGTACTTCTCATTCACTCGTAATGTTAAGGTCAATTCAGGCCCGGGCAGAGGCTTGGGCTCGGCCACACTCGAGCCCCGCCACCAGCGCCATCTGCTCTAAATGCCATCTACCAGCGCCCGCTACCGCTACCAGCTACCGCCCACCATCAAGCCTGAATGGAGCGAGAGACGCGAGTGACCGGTCGCCGGGCAAGGAGCGCCGGAGGGGTAGGGCGGAGCTTAGCGCTGACGTCATTACGTGGCTCCGCCCCATGAGCGCGTAGCCTCTACCCAAACAGCAGATTCGTTCCGTGAAATTTAACATTACGAGTGAATGAGAAGTACCTTTCATAATCGTTTGGCGTCAAAATACCTTTGTAATAAAAGTTTCGGCAGGTTCTGAAACACACATTGCCAGAATATTGTCAACGAGAGTTGACGCATTTAAAAATTATCGCAAAAAAGTGGGGTCTCAAGGGGTTTGACGTCCATAGTAGGTATCCTTCCTTATTGCATAGAAACTTTGAATGGCATGGCAATTTATAATTTTAAATGACAATATTTTTATGTTTCTTCTGTAGGTAGGTAGGTAGGTAGGTAGGTAGGTAGGTAGGTACACCAGACTGCTATGGACACTTTTCCAAGTTGGTGGGGCAAAAAACCTAATGTATGTCTTGGTTTGAGTCGTTTGAATGAGTTGATTGATTCCTTTCATTGTCGCGTTTGAGTCGATTGAATCAATTCCCGAAAACTGCTCTGACTTGATTGATTTGATTGGTTTCCCAAATTTGTCGTGATTGAATTGATTGCTATTGATTGAGTCGTATACAACCCTGTATGGGGGCGAACTGCCATTTTCGTTAAGTAAAAAAAAAAAATAAAAAAAATCATCGTGTCAGGGCTGTGACGAAAAATAAGTGGCCTAAATCTGATGAGAAAACAGGATTTGGGGGTACCCTAGGTTTGGCTCCTTGGGCTGGTGCCCCCCCTTGTCTCAAATCGTTCCGCCGCCGATGGACGCGCCGACGGGACCTCAGCCGGTGGGACCTCCAGACGCGGTTCAGGGACCTTCGCGGCATCGGTTCATGTATGCAATGCATGTACATACCGTGTACATGCATATGTAATAAAGGTATATCCATTCGAAGATACAGGCCTGAGCGGAAAAGGAACTACCTATCTATATCTTTAGAATGTTTACACTTCCCAGCCAGTGCGTGTAACTAGGAAAAAAGTTGTCATTAAATTAACCTTGTTTGTGTCTTAGGAAATGACTGTGCGATCAGTTGTGGTAAATTATAAATGCATGCACCTGCTGTACGTATGAAAACATTTACGTTTCAAGTGCATAAATGTTCAAATGTAATGTCATTATCGTTTTCGCCGTGAAACCGATTTAGAAGCTGTAGGTAAGGAGTACCGCAGACGAGTATAAGCAGTGATATTTGCCACGTCTGGCTCAATTACGTCCGATGGTGATGGACCACCCCGCCACAGCGGTAATATGCGCCACTTACCGGCGCAGCTGGCATCCCGACCACTGTTTGCATGCGTCCCGTGGCGATCCGCCTTGGCAATGAAAATATTTAGCGGCGCGAATTGGTGTGGTCGATAGCCGGCACAGACGGCGGCCGGTCCATGTGCGCGGCCGGTACCCGCGGGACGCTGTTCCCGGACGGACGGGGGACGCCTCTGGTGCCTACGGAACGCTGTTCCTGGACGGACCGGAGATGCCACA